CGTACTCTGGTTCTGTACTCGGATAGCCATCGTAGCCCTACTGTACAAGCACTTCAACACTTCGATATATCGACAGTAAACTTGGCATCGCTGAAGGGACTGCAGCACCGCCCAAATTTCGACGGAATCAAAGGCTTTCTCATAGTCCACATACGCCAGACATAGTGGCAAATTGTACTCTTCGAACTTCTGTACAATTTGCCGAAGGGTATGTATGTGGTCTATGGTGCTAAAGCCTTTTCGGAAACCGGCTTGTTCGGGAGGCTGGAAGTCGTCAAGTCTGCGCGCGAGACGATTCGTAATGACTCTCGAAAATAGCACGTAGACGCGGCTCAGAAGGGAAATCGGTCTGTAGTTCTTCAAGAGAGCGTTGTCACCTTTCTTGAAGAACAAGACCACCGCACTTCTGCTCCACGCCTCCGGTGTAATGCCACCATGGAGGACGGAATTAAAGAGCTTCTGAAGGACTTCAAGTACCGGTTTTCCACCCGCTTTCAGAAGCTCCGCTGTAATTCCATCCTCGCCTGGGGCCTTGCTGTTTTTAAGGTGCTGGAGAGCCATTCTAATCTCGCCCAGACTGACTTCCGGGATATCATCGGAATAATGTCGGATAAGACTCGCTCTTGGACCGTTACTCACACTTGCGTGCGGCTCCAACGATGACGTGTACAGCTGCCCAAAGAACCTCTCAATTTCACTCAAAATCTCAGGTGCCCCGGAAACGATGCTGCCACATTAGGTCTTCAGCTTTGACAGTTGGCTCTTTCTGGCAGACAGATCTCTGGCAAAGACTTTGAAGCCTTGGTTCCACTCGATCGCTTCTTCAATACGAGCTGTATTGAAGTTGCGTAAGTCCCGCCGCATGCATTTAGAGATATGTCTGTTCAGTTGCCTGTATGCTGTCAAATCTGTTGAAGAATGTAGCTTCATCTCCCGTTTAACAGCCATGAGATTAAGAGTGTGATCGGAGAGTTTTTGTGTTCTTCTGCGGCGGGTCTTGCAGAACTTAGCTCCGACCGCATGGACAGTTTCCACGAGCTTGTCATTCAAATCGTCCACTTCATTGCAGTCTTCTAGGCACTGAAAACGGTTTTGTAACTCGAGCTGAAAGGTTTCGGGACTTTGGATTAGAGCACGAGGGGGACGGAGCGTTGACTTCATTAGACGAGACCTCTCTAACTTAACGTTTAGATTCAGTGTGCCTCTAACCATTCGGTGATCGCTGCCGGTTTTCACCCTCGCGATCACTGAGACATCACTGAACAGTTGTCGTCTGGTCGTCATAATGAAGTCAATCTCATTTTTTGTCGAACCGTCGGGGCTCGACCAGGTCCAATTCCTGTGGGGCCGCTTCTGGAAGAAAGAGTTCATCATAAAAAGTCCCTCTTTCTCCATGAAGTCGGCCAGCTGCTGGCCCCTTGGGTTCCGTTGCCCTATTCCAAATTTCCCCACTTTCAGCTCACCGTTCTCTCTTGTGCCTAGTTTTGCATTGAAGTCTCCCATTAACACCGTATATTGGGTTTTGGAGGAATGCATGACTCGAGAGATATCCTCATACATTTCCTCCACCTCCTGATCGGGGTGTGCCGAGGTTGGTGCGTAAACCTGTATGACCTTCAGCGAATACCGTTTGGTGATTCTGAGTATAAGGTACGCAACTCTCGTCGACACACTCTCAATCTTTACAATGTTGTTAACGAGAGACTTGTGGACGATAAATCCGACACCTCCTTGGGACAGATGGTCGACCTCCCGGTAATAGAGCAAGTTATTATTTTTATTAGGATTACCGTGTCCTCCCCCTCTCTTCGGACTTCGGATAATCCTATAATATGCCAGCGTAACTTGTCTATCTCTTCTTCCAGCTCAACAATCTTCTCGTCAGTCATCAGGGTGCGTGCGTTGTATGTTGCCAGGTCGAGTCGTCGTAGGTGGCAACCGAACATCCACCGGAGATTCTTAGCACCCCCTGCCCTGCCGTTACTATGGTCGCCACCGTAGCCAGGAATAGTTTCATTTAATATTAATTAAATGTTTGTTATTATTAAAAGTAAAAGTTATATGTAATATAAAGCAGCCATTATCTCCGTGTACCCGTTTTGTTATTTCAACAGCAAAACATTTTACACACTATATAAAGTATAAAAGGTATATACTTAATTAAATATCTACCTATTTATATTTATTAATATTTATAGTTAAAAAAGAAATTCCGGGGAAACTATCCATGGCAGTAAAGTTTTCTCCAAAGGTCATAGCTCGCAAATATAACTTTCCGTTCTGACTCTTGGGGGAAATTATTTAAGCTTATAGGCAGGCTCAGGCACACAATGACTAATCAAAATTGGTTACCCATTTTCGGGCTGTCAGGTCGTCTATATGCCAGTATATTCAAAGCCTATGGTTGAAATACATAATTAAAAATACGGCAATTTATTATTTTTTTTTCTTAAATACGGCAAACCAGTCTGTGACAGACTCAGATTCTTACGATGGCAACACTGGTCACGTGCTAGTAGTGTCACGCAGTGTGACCATATGTGGCAGGTTCCTGCCATTTTGGCAGGATTGGCCTCTTATTTTAACCTGTGGCATGATCGGTAGACGTTTTATAAAACCTGGCAGTATTTGGCAGGATTGGGGTATTAAAAATATATTTCATTACGGCAACTTAAAATGACGAAAATGGCAATTTCTCGATCTCTCGTATTATGTTTGTATCACATTCAATAAACAACTTTAAAAAAAATTGTCTATAAAGTTGATAATCTTAACACGAGTTGGTTAATATTTGAATTAGTCATAAAAAAGATGTACTTTAGTTTGGTATAGAATTAGATATAATGGTGATAACATCTTGTAAATATTATTTCGTGGACGATAGTAATTATACATGGCGGTGATGAAGCGAAAATATGAAAGGGCGTATAGATAATGTGACCATTTATTATTTTTGTCAAAGCGGGACGTCTCTTGCGGAACTATGGTAAATAAAAGTTTTTGGTGGTTTAGAAGTTTTTTTTTTATTATTATTGAAGCTAATAACAATAATAAAAAATAATCAAAACACTTATTACAAAATAATTAAGTAGGTAGCATGAGTTATTAAGCCCTGGTAGTGGCGTGACTTCTACATAGTATTTTTATATTTGTCGGCTGAACAAACTAATTTTTATAATATCGGCACTGGTTTTTAGGTACCTACATATGGAGCTCAGTACAGAATTTATTTATATTTATTTTTGTAATTAAAATGACTTTCACTACTGCGACACTTAACTGAGTTTTATCACGGGTCCATATTTTGTTCAATTGAGAAATAACTTTTGCGACCGGCGCATTACTTCCTGGCAGACACATAATGTACTCAATAATTGTACAACAGTTCGTTAAGTGAAGATAGTTGGCACCGAAGTGCTGAAATAATTCAACCCAACGGTTTCAGCAGCAATATTCTCATCATTCCAGCCAGTGATCTTTTCAGCTGTCGCAAAGGTGGAAATAAGCGAAAACTCGTCAAAGACTTTCGCATCTTAGCTGTTGCTAATAAACCCGTGCCGTTGCGTGATCAGCAAATCCTTTACTTTTTGTACCTCATCCCAAATAGGTAATTTTGTTAAATTTTTCAATTGAAACAATTATAGTTCTGTGTTGAATTGACACCACTGCTCCAAGTATTCTTTGCTTGTCCTGTAAAACTCAGCCGCTGAATTTTTTAAAATTCTGCTGGTCAATAGCAATTTCAGTTCCTTGTAATTTTTTAAGTAGCTTACGGACGATGTGAGGAAGGAAACTCGTGCTCTCTTTGAGTGCCAGGTTATCTCGGAGACGATTAATTTCCTTCGCAGACTCTTTTGCAGACACGTTTTGCCCCTCAACTTTTAACACAGCTTCACGAAATGTCGCTGCTTGTGCGTGCAAGAAATGTAACCACAACTCCAATCTGGGAATTTCGAAAAAAAATTTTAATATATTTGGGAATTTTTCGATACTTAGAAAATAGCTTTTTAAAGGCTGAAACATTTTTAAAACTCTCTCAAGCGCGGGCATTAACGCAAGCCACCTTGTTTTATTGTAGCCAAGCAGTTTCTTAGAAAGTAAACTCTTTCAAAGATTAGACTCGAACGCTGTAGATGTAGAAGAATGAAGTTAGGTCTTTTTACAAATGCGGGACTATTTTGATTTCGCTGGGGACAGCAGGACAAACAGCCTGAAAACGGGACTGTCCCGCCCAAAGCGGGGCGTATGGTCACGTTACGTATAGAGCGAAATGAAAGCAAGATCTTTTATTTTCATCATGGATCTCCAAAGCTAAAGATGATCCACACTGTGTAACTGCAAATTGGCACCCCGTGTGTGCGCTTAAAAGAGCATGCCGCTACTAGTAAACATCAAAAACATATGAGAGGTACAACATGCGAAAGAATATTCTCTCAAATAAATTTAATTAAGACAAAAACACGAAACAGATCTATAAACAAACATTTAGCGTCTTGTACGTTAAACAAGGCATTGGTGAGCATAGCAATTGCATTGCATTCGAACCAACGAAAGATATGTTTAATTTTAATTTAAAAAAATGTAGCATTTATATGTGTTTATTGACTTTTCTTAGTTTAATACAATAGTAAATAAAATTGGCAGTATTTAGGTATTTTTCACTACAGATTTTGGCAGAATTTGTCAGGTTTTTAACCAAAGTATGGCGGGATCTGTATTTTAAAGATGGTCACACTGAGTGTCAGTGTCAAGCTGTCACTGTTGGCCTAAAGGTCTAGATGCCAGGCCATAAACTCCAAAAAAAATTCAAGCTGTCACTGTCAACTGACAAATATTCGGTTTGCTTGAATTATGTGCATTGTGTGGCCCCTATAATCATAGAGCGACATTTTAAATTAAATTGTGATTTAACATTTACTTACACTTACTTACTTACTTACTTTACGTTACTTACTTACATTTTTGGGGTGTCTTGGCAAACACTATTGTGTTCGGTGATAATGGATGAACCAAAAAAGGATTCACCTCTTTCCGCAGAAGAACTTAAAAATAAGGGCAATGAATGTGTAAAAGATGGAAAATTTATTGAAGCAGTATTACATTATACTCACGCGATTAAAATGGACCCAAATAATTATGTTTTATATAGTAACAGATCATATGCTTTCCTTAAATTGGATCAACATTACTTATCGCTGCAAGATGCCAATGAAACTGTAAAATTACAACCTCAATGGGCTAAGGTAAACTTAATGTGGTTTTATACGAGAAATATAAATATTTTATTTTGAAATAATTTTATTATTTTAATCCTTGTCTCTTTATTTACATATTTTTATTGGGTTTTAAGCCTTTTTATGGTACGGCTCTATTCCATCTTTTCTCATCGTGTTTTACTTCTAGCTATTCTAGCCTATAATTTCCAAGCTAAAAGAATCACCTCAAGAACATTACAAGGAGTCTCTTACAACATGCTAACATGCTTTTTCTGTTGGGTGGTTTTACCTTGCCCCACTTTGTTAACCCTTAATTGGTATAAAGGGAATTAGAAAAACATGCCAGTTTTATCTTTAAAGATGTTGTTTCTTGTAATTTGCTGTTTTTTAATATTTATATGAAATTTATTATGGTTCTAGGGATATTTTCGACGTGCTGAAGTTGAATGTGCTAGTGGATTATATGATGAAGCAATAATATCATACACAAGAGCATTACAATTAGATCCTCATAATCCCAAATTAATAGAATGTATTAAAAATATAACCGATATGCAAAAGCAAAAAATAAAAGGTAAGTTAAAATATTTGATAATTTTACAGTACGACTTTCCATTGACGTCTGTCGAATTGGGGGTTGATATTTTTTTTTACAGAAAGGTTACATTATTATAAGCACACACACTGTGTCAACATGTGGAAACATGTACTTTTTGAGAAAAAAATTAATGAAAATCGATTATTTTTGCAATATTTATGTCAATTCCTACTGTAAAACTGAAGCTATTTCGTATTGTCATAGTCATCGTCAGTAGGTATGTCGATTCTTTCTGAAAAAGTTCGATTTTTAAATCGATTCGAATTGTAAGCTGATGTATCAATTTCTAAAATATCGATATTTTTTCATGTTTGCATTTATAATGTATATATAAAGCCATTTTATGAAAAGCAAGAAAGATACCATAATAACACTTTGTGTGTGTATAATGTAATCTTTCTGTAAAAAAAATATCAACCCCCAACTCGACAGACATCAATGGAAAGCTAAGCTAATTTTACTTCTATTTATATAAATATATTACTATTTTATGTTTCAGCCCATAATAGATAAAGCAGAAGTTCCCAAACTGTTTTATCTCATAGACCACTTTCAAAACTTTACTAATTTTGGTGGACCCACTGCTGCTACATTTCTACCATATTCCCAAAACTCATCAAACAATGTGAAAATTATTAGATTTAACAATGGGAATTTGTGTTGTGGCTGAGTTCTCCAACCTTAAATACAGATGATACACAAAAACTAAAAACAAGATACAAACATTGTGAGAGACATGCAATGTGCTCACCCAGTTATAGGCAACCACAGATAACACATGGTAGAGCCATGCTGCAGCTATATTAATAGTATAGTTGTAGCACGAATGGGTCGGCTCGACCGGGGAAGGACCACGCTCTCACAGAATACCAGCGTAAAATAGCAGCTTAATGCAGTTGTGTTTCATATGGTGAGTGTAGAGAACCGTAGACCCTTTTTACTGGAAAAGAGGCATTCTATCTTAGTCCTCATGGCTGACAATGCATCTGCATTTTAATTTGCAAACGAAGATACATGTAGATGTCTATGGGCCACAGCAACCACTTACCATCAGGGGGACTGTGTGCTCGCTTGTCACCCTTATTCTATATAAAAAAATTTGTGAAACGTTAAATAATGTAAAATTTTATAGTACAGTAGCAAAATTGTGTATTTATGAGAACTTAAAAAGGTTTACATTTATCATCTAAATAATATTAAAATTATCTATCTATACAAATAAATATAATTGAAGTGTCTGTTTGTAATGTCAAAATACCAGCTTTTTACTAAATGCATATGAAAATATATACAGTACTTATAACAAAAACACAATTTTTAAAATTTTTGTCTGTCTGTCTGTTTTATTCCGGCTAATCTCCGTAACGGCTGGACCGATTTCGACGGGACTTTCACTGGCAGATAGCTGATGTTATAAGGAGTAACTTAAGCTACTTATATTTTAGAAAAAAAAAATAGGGTTCTACGCAACATAATTAAAACCCTAAATTACATGAGGGCGAAATCGCGGAGAACAGCTAGTATTTTTAATTAAAATTAATTAATTTAATTAATAAATGTTACGTACCGTAAATTCAACAACGCAAATCAACAATTTAAAAAAATATATTCATATGTACTCGATGGATTGACATCAAATTATCAATATTTGGCTTCAGTTTTGTAAGGAATTATTGCAAATCTCCCCATTCTATTATGTTCAATATGCTACTTTTTTTCTTAATAGGTTTGTAACAACACTAAAACTTTTTTCCACAAAGTATGACAAGGGAAACGCTATCAAAAGTTCTCACAATTTCCCACAGCCTAAAATTTTTTGAGGTATTTCTGCCTACAGCCTAAATTTTTGATAGCTTTTTTTAGATTTCACCTTCAGCTTCTCATGGATGCCTAGCTCAAACCACCTTTTGTAATACCACATTCACCACTTCCGTTTCATCAAATGGATTTATGATCTATGGTAGTATTTCCATTTTTAGAATATTTTCATATATATTTTTGAAGTCATCATGCGGGGCATTTAAATATTGAACATATGTCTGAATATCGTCATTAAGACATTCTACCTGTGACATGTTTGGAAACTAGGAGAATACCCGCTGACTTATATTTAGCTTCATAAATTTAAATTTTTCAAGAAAAGTCGAAATCACACCCTTTATTTTTATTAAATTTAGGCTGTAACCTTGTGACTGCAAATTAGTATCGTAAGGTCTCCGTGCTTTAGGCATGAAAATATATGTACACTGCGTGGTCCCCTACAAGCGGCTAATTCCGTGAGGTTATCACTCGCTCGCTCGAGCTGACGCTTTTTTTTTATAGAATTGGGTGACAAACGAGCACACAGTCCACCTGATGGTAAGTGGTTACTGTGACCCATAGACATCTACATCTATCCTCAATAAAGACTCAAGATGCAGATGGGTTGTCACCAGTGAGGACTAAGATGGAATGCCTCTTTGCCAGTAAAAAGGGTCTCCGGTTCTCTACACTCACCATACGAAACACAGCAGCGTTAAGCTGCTATTTTACGCTGGTTTTCTGTGAGAGCGTGGTCCTTCCCTGGTCGAGCCGACTCATTCGTGCTACAACTTTACTACTAATATAGCTGCAGCATGGCTCTACCACGTTAGTGACGCTCGCCTTACGTTAACAAACAAGTATTTTTCTCTTATAAGTAGTTAGCCCTTTTGCTATTTATTTTTGAGTTTTTACTCAAGTATGGCCTCTCAAAAATCCAAAAGGTATTGCATAGTATGCGGGTGCTTAAAGAACAATAGGAATGTCGACTTTTCATTCTTTACTGTTCCTAAGGATACCGAAAGGTATATATTACTATTTATAGGTAGATCTAGATAATTAGGTACTTAGTTACTGACACCATAGTTACAGATTTTTTATTTGATCAGCGACCTGACCACAGCTTCGCAGTTTTCGATTTCTTTGCGTATAATGCCAATGACCTTAAAAAATCGTTCAGTGTAAGTAGACGGTCCCGTACTAGTGACTGCCTACTAATGTAATAATACTAATATGTTCATGTTGTTATAATCTTAATTCTCGTCGATGTTGCATATTAACCTTCCTCACATTGAACAATAATGTTTTTACTATCAGCAAATTGACGGTTCCGCGGCGCAGTGGCTTAAAAATTAGTTGCAACGTTGGGGCCGCGGGTTCGAATCCTGCACGGAACAAGTATTTGTACCTACAAATAATTGTTCCGGGTCTAAATATTTCTCCATGTGAAATTTATGTTTGTAAACTGCCTCCACGTAACAAAATAAAAAATACTAATACATTGCATAACTCCTCGGTGTATATACCAACTAATATCAAAGGATTCAATTTGTTTTAAAAGCTTTTAGAAAAATTTACTTCGCAAATATCCGCGTTATAAAATAAAATGACGTGTCTTACCTAGTATGAAGAGCACCTCCCGCCCTCCCTCAATTGCGTGCACTATTCCCGTCACCACTAATCCCAGCACCACTACTCCCAACTTGCCTAGTGTAGTGGTGTTGAGAGTAGTGGTGCTGGGATTAGTGGTGACGGGGATAGTGTACGCAACTGAATCCTTATAACATCAGCTATCTGCCAGTGAAAGTCCCGTCGAAATCGGGCCAGCCGTTTCGGAGATTAGCCGGAACAAACAGACAGACAGACAGACAAAACTTATAAAAATTGTGTTATTGTTATAAGTACCATATATACTTTCACATGCATTTAGTGAAAAGTTGTTATTTTGACGTTACAAACAGACACTCCAATTTTATTTATTTGTATAGATAGTATACGCAGATGATACATATTGTATGATGATAATAATCGCAGGCACATCTAGTGCAAAATAATTAAGGTAAGAAAGAGACGTTAAAATTCAAAAAGAAATAAAATTGGTAGTCCTTACCAATCTCTATTTTGGTAAAAAGTAACTAAGTATGCTCTTAGACAATAAAGAACTCTACTGTGTAGTAATTATAACATTAGATACTACACAAATACTTTAGCATATAGGGAAGTGGCGTCACGACGCTCGCCGATATCACAGCATCTCAAGATTACGCGTAGTGTAGTCTGATTAGTGAAAGTAATCTAATTACTTAGTTTACATACTGCCAATGCAATTTCGTCAAGGCAAAATAACTCGGCAGCGTAGTGCTAAGCGAACGATTTGGACCGCGGCGCGGGCTTGAATAACACACGGATTTTTTTTTGTTTGGTTTAAAAATAAATTCTTTGTCTCTAGAGGTTGCAAAAAAAAAGCAATTTTTATTGAATATATTATATTTTATTTACAATAATTATAACAACTAAGTGAGGTGACTCTAATTCGATGTTTGAATCTAGAATGAATTCACACGGTAATATATTACAACTAGGTAATATAAGACAGTAGACACCTTATGCTGACGCGGCGCCTCGTGATTGTCGTAAGCCGATGCAACTCAGCAGATTGCCTAGATTAGGGCTGCGTAACACATGTAGATAAAGTTTATGTTTATAAAACGGCTCCCTCAGTTCGTAGAAAGGGCCGCTTGCTTTTTATAAGGTCATGACTAAACGCCTTTGGCTTTTTATGTTCCTAGATATACCTACCGCCAGTCAATCTTACCCAACTGAAGAGATCATAGCACTGCTCAATTTTTAATTTAATTTTTTTTATTGTTTGAGAATAAAGTTTATAAATAACGTATTTGGGAGAGTTGAATTCATAGTTTGCCTGTAAAATGTTTTGCAATTACTTCAAAACAATGCGTTAATAAATTCTGGAAAGGAAATTAGTCTGTTGTTTTTCATAAGACCGTTATCAACTTTCTTAGAGAACACGACACCTCTGCTCGATATCTACATCGTACTTATTGCATATTTAACACTTACGGAGTCGCGTCCTAATTTGTAGCACAAGCATATTTGTATCGCTACCGGGTCAACTTGGCCCATTATAATATCATAAACTTATTTTAAAACTGCTTTATAAACGTAAATGGTTAATTTCTAATAATGGTTCAATTTGTGTAAAGAAATATAATATTGAATTAAATATACTAATATTTATTGTTGTTACTTATACAAAAACTGTTACAAAAATCACAATATATGTCCATAGTTTTGTGACAAGTTTTAGGCTTGTAGTTATAATTTCTATAATTACTTATTTTAATCAAAAACTTCTGTATTTTCTTTCACAATAATGTACTTACTTATACGAAGTAAAGAGGGATCAATCATCGTAGAAAAATTCGAAAAACAAAACAAAAATACAATATCTTCTTTGAAGTAAAATCGCCCTGAAACATTCTACTGATATTTTTTTAAATTAACTGACTACCAACGTCGTAATTTGCTGTGTTACACTATCGTTGAAAGGTACCTACTAAGAGCGGCAACGTTGCAAACGTCGAATTTTAATAATTAATAAGCAATATATTAAGGGCTGGGTCTGTTGGACCCATTAGCGACTCCTTAAGTGTTAAAGAATGAAATTAGATAGCTTATGACTGTTACAGGTTGACTAACGCCTGGAGTATCATCGAAATAGTGTCGAATTAGCGTTCGAATAGTACCTCAAATCGAACTTAAAGTGTGTGCTTTTCATCGCTGTCCTTAAAAGTCCATAGCAGTCTCATTAAATATTTCAAGTTCCCTAAAAACGACACTGTCGTTGTGTATTCCACTTGTTGGCTTTTTGCAGCAAGCAAACTCCTGGTGAAGACAGGAAGTCTTTGTTTTCGTTATTCAATTTGAGATTTACTGAATTTGTGTAAGACACACTGCATACATTAAAGATTCGTCTATTTAATTGATTGTAATCTGATGTATCAGTTGAAGTTCTAACTTTATTTCCAGTCTTACAGATTCGAGCACATGGAATGCCCCGCTTTTAAAATGTTCACTTGTTCAATCTCTACGACTATAACTTTCAATTACAATCGTAGTTTAGCAGTTGTACGTATAGAGACATTACTAGAATGCCAATATATATATATATATATATATATATATATATATATATATATATATATATATTGGCATTCTATATATATATATATATATATATATATATATAGATATATACAATTACAATAGCGAACTATACATAACTGATGTAACACTGATGCTATAAGTAATGCAGATGTAAACTTTGCCACAGCGTTGCTAGTCCAATCATAATAACAACAATTTGCACTAATGTTGGCTCGAGCTGGCATTTAACTCGAATACAAAACTCGCGGCTATTGTTTTGATAAAAATAGAAAATTAGGGTCTTAATTCAAACTTAAACAAATTGTATAAACATTTTTATAAATAATGAATTTCTTTGCATTTCAGGTAATCAGAACACGATTTGGATATGCACATGTTTGGGCTTCATAGTTGGCATAGCTGTTGTTATATTGGACTACACATTGACATCAAGCCCTACATTGGGGGTAAGATAGCTTTGCCACTTTCATGTTGAAATTTATAGTAAAGGATTGTAATATCTAGGGATGCAGCGATAATACGGCTATTACGACACCGATCATCATCATCATAATCATCATTACAGCCCTTCACAAGTCCACTGCTGAACATAGGCCTCCCCCAAGAAATGCCACGATACGTACCTTTATTTATTCTGTGCCGATAAGAGTAACGAATACGTTTTTTTATGTGTAATAAGAGTGACAAATGATGGGTGCTCGTTCGCACCTGATGGCAAGTGGATGTTGTGGCCCATAGACATCTATCTACCTCATTCCCAGGGGTTATTATCATCCATAAATTCCTTAATATTATAATAACCCTTTTTATACAAACTTAGTTTAATAAAGTTTTTGAATTTTGAGCAGGTCAAATTTTGTATATTTTTTGGGATTTTGTTGTAAAAGCGCCTCAATTCCATCGCCCCAAGAATGAACTACTGACTCGGTGGAGTCGAGTAACTGGTACTACTAGCTTGTGTCTGTTCCTAGTATTTACGGAATGAATATCACTCATTTTTGTATAACTACTTTTATTTTTGTGTACTTACACTACATTTTCATAAATGTATTGAGAGGCCAAAGTTAATATATTAATTTTCTTAAATTTTTGTCGGAGCGACGTCGGAATCAAAATGCACGTATTCACCCCTGAGAACTAAGATGGAGTGCCTCGTTTCTAGTAAAAAGAGTCTCTGGTACTCTCTACTCGCCATACAAACCACAGCAGTATTTAGCTGCTATTTTTCTATCGCGGTCCTACCCCGGTCGAGCCAACCCATTCGTGCTACAACCATAATATAGCTGCAGTGTGGCTCTACCATGTTATGAATATCGTAATGGCCAACAAATCATAATACAAATGCATTACTCAGTTTTTTACTGTTGTAACAGTTTTTGAGGAATTTTACCGACTTTCCGATCTTGACTGCAGTCACTAAATTCTTTACCTACTGTCTCCGAGTTATTATTACACCAAATGTAAATGTTTGTACAAAAACTTTCATAAAATATTATCAAGAGATATTTTGATATTATTCAAAACTATTAATAATTAATATTAAGAAAACAAGCTTACTAGCGTGAGTTACTTAGTTAACCCTCCGTGTACCAGGTGACTAAAAGTCTTGTTCCATACTAGGTGGGGTGTGACAAACCCCAAAATAAAAAGTGACAAAATTTACATATTTTATGCTTGTTGGCGGAATTAAATATTACGTATTTATAAATACATAATAATCATCAGGTTTAAGTAAAACTCAGAGTAGAAAGTATGTATTAAAATATTTATTATTATAAAAGAACAAAAAACACAACTCCTGTAATTTATGCAACTTAACAGTCATTGTCTTACGAACTAATTTAAAAATGGCACTTTTAACTATCACAATCATTTTAATTTTATTAATTACAATATATATTTCCAATAATTAAACATAAATTGAACACAGGAAAGATAAATTTGAATTGAATTCAATTGACCACAGTTTTGACAAAAAAATCAGTATGCTGCATATATATTGGCACGTAACATTTTTTACGTAAGTATTTTGTTTTACGATCTTTATATCTAGGGCAACTTAAGCACCCTGTTTGAGCAATAGACCTTTTTGCTAGGCGTTCAGTTTAATTTTCAGGCAAAACATCAAAATATCAATTCTATTGCCGACAGAATCAAAAGCTTCCAAGGGACCTACTTGGAAGCTTTTGGTTCTGCCTTCTGGAGTTTAAGTGGCCTTTTATCAAAGCAATATCACCAGGCAAATGTTTGTTCTTTCTGTTCTACAGCGAACATTGCTCCTGCATGGTTCTTTTTGCCACTTTGCTGTCTTATCTGTGCCAATATAATACCATTGTCTAGACGGGCGAAGCTCTGAAAGTGGTGCATCGTCGTTACTGTCAAAATCGGAAGAAAGTATTTCTGCATCAACTTTGCTGTTCGTGTCACTCTTAATACAAAAAATTAGATTCACCTGCAGATACCGATCCTAAACCTCCAGATTCTTACTCAAAGTCGTCTCCTTCGTCTAAAAATGCTTGTAATATATTATTACCTTTCTTGATATGCAACATTTTTCTTCTAAACCATTATCTGTAACGAAGCAAAATCCATATAAATGCTAAACATACATAAATTAAACACACATAAATAAAAAAATACATAAATTACATCGAATAAAAATCTTACATCTTTATCAACGTGCCGTACGAGGTGGGGTGTGTGACGCCCATACGTACTTTAAGGGTGTGTAGCTCGTTTGGAAGTTGCTGCTGGACTGACTTAGCGCCACTTATCGGAGCAGCATTGTCGCAATTCCAGCTACTAAGAACTTTGGCTTTGGTACGTCCACAGTTTTAAAATTATTGCGAAATTTGAAGGACTGGGGTTTGTCAAACCCCACCTGGTGCACGGAGGGTTAAAGTACATATTCTGACTATAATCGACCATATTATCTACTATGTGAGTTCTGTGATGCCCAACGCATGCAACTTGCAAGGCCATTCATCAGGAATCGCGATGCTTGGTTCGTGTTGGTAGATAGCGTAAACAACAAATAAACCCGAAATACGATTCTTAACAGAAATATGATCGTAATATTATATTTAATTGAAAATCTTGTAAATAAAGATTTAGTTTCAGTATTTTGTGCTATTATAACTTAAAATATTTTAATTACAAAGACGAGGATAGATATGTCAGTAGGTACTTGGGTAGTAAATTCCGTCTAAGTTTTGTAATAAAGTACTTAAGTATTACTTCTGTAGTTAAATTATTACTTATTTATATTTTCGCTATAAGTACTCTATCTAACAAAAAAATGAAATAAATTTACATTTCATTGTCCTTCGGTAACTCAAAAAATGACATATCTGAATACTTTTAATTGCTCATTAGGCATCCATCCACGCAACAATTATAGTAGGAACGACCTTTTGCCATTATAATTTATCAAATAGATAGGTAATACTTATACATTTATATTATTTTTAAAATACATTAAAACATGTTAAACTATTTTATCCTACAATTAAATATACTTAACATTAAACAAAAACTATTTAGACGAGTATTTCCACAAGTATTTACAAAAAATTATTTACGTAAACAGCGTTAAAAAACTTTAACATTCAATCGTATAGAGCGCGCTAGCCTCGACTGCGATCTACCCCTGAGGCAGCTCGCTATTGTAGGTAATTATTTCACGCAGGTAGCAAGAGTGACAGAGGCCTGGAATCATTCAAAAACTATTGGTCAGACCTTGATCAAATTATATATGGGACCACATGTGAATCACCAGCTTTCAAATAAAAAAATAATCATCGAAATCGACTCACCCAGTAAAAAGTTGTGAGGTAACATACATAAAAAAAACATACAGTCCAATTGAGTACCGGCTCCTTTTTTAAGTCGGTAGAAAAACCACTTCAAAATTGGTTGCGTAGTTTAAAAGATCTAAGCGAACAGACGGCTGGAAGCGACTTTGTTTTATTACTATGTAGAGATACTAGTATTGAATCTGATTTGCTTGCTGATTTACTGTAATAAGTTATAAATGGACGGTTTGTTATTATAATCGTAAAGTCATCATACCTTTATTTTAATCTGGTGGTTACATTGTACCCCATTAATTTTAAATCTAATTCTATACTATAGCACAGAATAAATAATAGTACTATAGCTTTTATATCTAAGCTTAAGATCTAGTTATAAGCTTTTTAATCTAAATAAATAGCTTTACAAAGATCACTTGGACTTCATTAGGGGTGCCGCTCTACAGCTGACGCTGGTGTTGAGTTGAGTCAACATAGTTATTAGGCAATGGGTGAACTCAGAAGATGCTTTGGTAATATTATGTGACCTTCCAAAGCCTTCGACTATGTTCACCATGAGACATTGAAACAGAAACGTTTTTTATGCAATATTGATTATAAATAATACTTATTATAAGTCACTCTTTTGTTTAATTTACCACTGGTTCGTAAAAGAAACCTCTGTCCTAGGAAGAACCAGTCAAAAACCCAGCGGGACTTTCAATTTTGAAAAAAAGAAAATAATAACTTACAATCATCAAATTATTTATATGTTACACAACCTACTTACAGCATGATCCCCTCAACAGTATATGATATATATATATATATATATATATATATATATATAATTTTATCTTATATGTATTTTACTGCCCGAAGAGAAATCATTTACTTAATTCGTATTTTCTTTAAATATATGGGTATATATAAAATATAATAAAAATGTTTTTGTCATCTTAATTTATATATTATTATAACATTACTGTGAAAAGCGAAGTATAATAGTTGTTTCCACAGATTTAAAACCAATGGCGGGAATTTACCGCCGCGATGAATGACAGTTACAGATTATTAATATTTGACACAACCGGGATGGATGACTTTAGACTTTGAAATTGGATGACTTTAAAAATGAGTGGATAGCTTTAAAGAACGTAGCGCTTAAACTTATTATATCATGTTTAAACAAAACGACGCAAACAGTTGTTATAAATGGTAGTAGTTCTTCCGGGACGGTTGTATCTGTGGGCGTTCCTCAAAACTCAATTCATGGCCCTTTCCTGTTTTTATTTTAAATTCATAACTTACCTTACCTGGTAGGGATGACCATAATATAGTTTTATATAAGTTAATAATGCTACATCAAAATTCATCACGAGTTTAAGATCAATAGTTTGCTTTTGACGTGATAAAACGAAATGTATTAAATTCACAACACCCAATGTTAAACTCGTGAATCTCTTGCTTTTATATGGGAAGGAGCTGACTCCTGTTGGATCCGTAGTATTGAAATTGTAGTTGACGCGAAACTAGCAAACTTAGTTCTGCAGTACATGCTGTTAAAAAGATTAGAGGCCTTATATACGTTTTGAAACGGCTAGATTAGTTTATTTTAGTTATTTCGAAGCCGCATAGTGGCGGTGTAAGAATATCCACTACCCCATATCGTCCCGTGGGTGTCGTAAAAAGCGACAGAGGGAAACTAAAACAGGGGATAGGCATCAGCGTCTTTCGCATAACAACCGGTATCTGATGATAACAATAAAAACTTTTTAAAAATCAACAATAATAAACAAAGCTTGTGAACTCTTCTGGAGGTGTTTCATCAACATCAACAAAGAAATCTTATACAAATATATACTAGTTCATACTTTAATTGAGCAAAATTTTGTTATCCGACTTGATTGTTAAGAAATAAATCACCTAAAACTTCATTTACATTTTCACCTTTAAGAGCGAATACCTAGGAAAGAGAACAGAATTGGAAAAACAAATTTAACTCCTGTCATTTTCACCTGTTATACTCAATTCTGACTTGCGTGTATACTCACCCAAATTGTCATTCTGCACACCTGCACCCGCGGTGACATTATAACCAACCACATATTTTATTTTAAATATTTTTAACCTCTGTCGTCTGTCCTGGAAAAAACATGCCAAAACCCAACGGGACTTTTATTTTTGAACAAAGAAATAACAGCTTACAATCATCAATAAATATACACATATGTTACACAATTAACAACTCAAAACAAATTAGAAATAGGTAGACAACAATCAACTCATTCCCAGGGGTTCCCATTAATCAGGAACCCCATATTTTATTTTTAACATGTTTTCTATAACTACATTTACACAGACAAGTGTTGTGACCTAATAAAAAAATATAAAAAATGCTTAATTAGATATATTAAAAAATATTTGATTAAGATTCTTATACCTATCTAATGTAAACTATTTTATTTTCAGCATCCCTTCAGTATGGTAGCCTTCTCAATTGCATTGGCTGGTTTAGGCTGGGCAATAGGTAAATCAGTTACATTGATGAACACATGGAGTGCTGGTAAATCTCTTCAACCTCCAGATGATTTAGGTAACTTTTGTTTTGTTTATATCATAATTTTAACCTTATGTCTGGCACCTTTGACACTGCTGACCGTCGCTGGTCTGTATATTTTACACCTGGCATACGTGACAGTTTTACCTCCATCTGTTGGGCTCCATCTAAATGTCTTTCTGGCTTTTCCCATAGTTGCTTCTTACGACACCCACGGGACAAACGGGGTGACCACAATCATAGCCCACACTTTGTGCTTTTGTTTTAGGTATTTATATAGGTTAAGTAACACCCACAATTACGTGCATCATCCTATCACCGCTACTACTAAACATACCACCGCCGAACGAAACGTGTTTCACCACTTAATGAAGCATCATCAGGAGAAACTATGGCTAACCGTTTAGTGAGGGGCGACTAACTGAACTTATGGCTAACCGCTTAGTGAGGAGCGACTAACTAAACTATGGCTCACCGCTTACTGAGGGGCGACTAACTGCATTGGGTATCTCGAGTACACCTTAGAGGGCACCGAAGAGCAGTAAGACCTGACAGCAATATCTTCTCGCTGGCTAGCAATACAGCTGTGGCCTTTGGTCGCTCGGGACGGCCAGCCGGGTGGGGCCCTATTGGGAGAGGCCCAGATAACCTGATTGCGAGCGAGCGGCGTCTTGTTATTATTGTTAAACTAAAGTCAATATCGGCGTCCTCGTCGGGTTGGAAGTTGTTGCGGCCGGGATGAAAGTTCTGGGTTGGTATTCCTTGGACTGATTATAGTTACACAAGCTAGCAATTCTTCGAAGTATGATTTCAGTGGGTCCGTATTGTTTTAGAATGCGAAAGTACATCTTCCTGGACTTTTATTCGCGTATTACAATTGCTTTTTCGCTACATTTTTGCTTCTTACCCGTTTTCTTTTTCCTTGCCTCATTCTTCGGCGTTTTACTCCCGTGTTATGTGTTTTCCGGAGCCATTAAATTATGATAGTTCGCGTCCGTTACTATAGTGTTAGCTTCTGTTCTCGGAGATAAAGTTTTGGAGAACGATGCAATGTTTTTTGCGCAACGATAGCGCAGTTCTCATTGGTAAACAGGAAATGCAATGTTATTGGCCGTTTGCGTCCGTTTATAATTCTCGCAAGTAGGACACACTTTTCGTGATCTTGGACAGCCTCTTGCAATGCAGTCCGCAGTACACGCAGGACTGTCGGTTGTGACAGCAGTGTGGGGAGTGCCGAAATGTATGGCACTTATGGCTCTGTGGCGGACTATTTTTGGGATGCTACGCTTCAACCTTGGCGCCGAACGTTAGTAAAAACTCGAATTTCGTAGATTTTTGCGATGCCATACATATGTTTCAATTGAACATAAAATATGGTATCAAGTCCTCCTTGTCTCGCCACAGTGGGCCGATACGTGTTCATGTATGTACTTAATCCAAAGATCTCAACGTCTATGTTAACTCTTTCGGGTTTGTTTCTTTTGGGAGTCCACTTTAGCGAGCTTTACCTGTTGTGTATGTTATGTGTTGTACGTTTATGTTAGATATGTTTACAGATAGAGACTTTGCCATCCATGTCGATTTTTCTACGAACATCAAAGTAAACAACGTTCAAATTTTGGGCGGCCTGCTACACTTATTGTAAAATTTGTAAAGTTTAGACGCATGCACCGCTGATCGGAGCAGTTGTGAGTGGTGACAATGAACTAGTAGTGATGCTCTTATCGAATTTCTTGAGCTTCTTCAAGCAGTCTGAAATTCGAGAAACGGCCATCATAAAATTCGAAACTATGTTAACAACGCATTGCTTAGAGTAAATTATTTCTCTGTCTTAGTATAATTCACATCGTCTTGGAGATTTGTGTGATCACAGTGAAAATCGAAAAGACCAATTGCGAGGCTGTATGCGTTAACATAAGGCATACAAGGTCTCGTCTCACTACATGACACATGTTATGAATATTTATAGCAACGTATTAGGCACGACAGGCGTACTACACCCACTAGAACGTATACTACATTGTATATATGTTCAGTAAACGTATCTAACAACGGACATCTTTATGAATGCCAGACCAATTTGTTTAGATTTAGGCCCTGTTGATCCTGACGCAAGCACTAGAGTCCCTCCCTATACAGAGATTTTAATTTCTATATCAGCAAAACTCTCATCCTAAAACGAGGTCATAGGCTTTTTCCAAGTTTGAAAATGCACAGATAACTTAGTAATCAAGCGCATAGAAAAAAGACTTCCGTACACTGCATTGCACCCTTTTTAAATCCAGCTTGCACATCACATACTTTTCAACCCCAATCACTAGTGTGGATATTGATATGAATGTAAGACCGGACCGGACCGTGCATTTGGAGAAAATATGATAACATTTTCTCCAAATGGACGGTCATTCCGAACGTTCCGGATTGACGAGGCTTTAGCGACCAACTAATGAAAGGAGACAACGTCTTTTTGTATTGAAAATAGGCCCACCACCGTAACCAGGCGTAACTTAATGAAACACATGCCGATTTATTCCTTATAAGTAACCAATGGATTACAGTAGTAATATTAGTTTTACCGTATGTAACGGGAATACTGAAAAATTACCAATTAAAATATGAATATTACAATAACCTAAAAACAAACTAAAAGCGATTGTCTAGTAGTTTTCACCGGTATTATAAGTTAAAATAGTACACTGGTCAATAGTTAATAGTATAAAAGAAAGTTGTAAGTACATTCAGCATTTATAGGTACTTTAAGGTTGATGGAAATTTTTTTTAGTAGTTCGTTCTTCTTTATACATTTTTTTTTTAATATTAAATTAGCCAATTCGCGAATATCAAAAGGTCTCCTTTTTTCAGATTTTATGATTCCGGTTACAAGTTCATAAAATCTTTAGGCCGTTTACTATAATAAATTGGTATCTTTTTTATGTGTAATAAAATTAAGTTACGTTAAAGTTTCTAGTGGGCTCAAAAACGATTGTCTCCTTATGGGTTTAAACAAATGATTGTCGATGCTTGTTAGTGGGTAAAATTACACTAGTCTACTGACGATCTTGTCGCTATATCAGGTTTAGGTAGGTCAATATATGTCTATTGTGTAAGCCCAATATTCGTTGTGAGCATCGTCATATAATAAGAAATTGGTACTGTATTGGTTTGCTTTTATTATGTAGTAATGATTTTTTATTTCAGCTGGAAGTGATAGTCCAAGTAACGAGACAGTGCAACCAGAAAAGAAAGCCAAGTATAGTAAAGCTCAAGCACGACAAAGATATAAGCAAGGAAGACTTTAGTGAATTTTATGGATATAAATATATGGGAATATGGAATAAATGTTAAGTTTTATAAACGTTTTATAAGGAAATTTAGAAACATAATTAAGACTTTATTGAAGTGGGAACTGCAATCTTATACACAACTTTTGTTTCGTCCGGTAACATGTCCTGACCGGTGTTAACGTTTTAGATCATAAGTAAATAATAATAAAGTAATAACATAGAATTACCCCATACGTCCTAAGAAGAGGCAGAAGGAAATTGTAACTGGAAATGAGCAGTAGTGTCTACCTGATGTCTCAATAATAATGAAAAAATTGCAGTTGCCAATCTGCCTTCAAGCATGGCAACTAAGAAAGATAGCCCCTTTCAATGTAATCATGATGGAGACCTATGTTCAGCAGTGGACTTTTGATGGACTGAAATTAAAGATGTAAAATGTAATTCACTAAGGTTTCAAATAAAGTACAATAATATAAGTACTGCATTTCCCATTTATATGAAAAGTGGTATCTATAAGCCAAAGTAATGAGTATTAGTTTGTACATATCAATTCCGTTATTCTGCATCATTCTCGTTATCACAAAATGATTTGCATATTATTTAATAAACATCAATTTGCAGGATTTTATTTGCATTAAAGATTACAAAAATATATAATTGATATGTTCTTATCGTTTGGAGTGTATAAATAAAATAAACTGTTTATTGTTATCACTTTATGAAAATATAAATAATTTACTTTCACATAATCGACTTTCAATAACCTTACAACTATTCATGTAAACTGCACCAAGATGCAAGGTTATTAACTATTGATAACCTTTACCTCTGTGTAGTGTTGGTGTAGTGTAATTTAATTAACTTATTTCCATTTAAATATTTGCACACCCAAATAGTGGGTAGAATGTATTAGCGCCTTAATATTGCAACAACACCTTTTTTGTAACTACATTCTTGTAAATAAATGAAATTTGAATTTGAATTTGAATTTGAATTTGAGGAGCGAGATTTTTTTGGGTCACAGTGCACTCATTGCCTCAATTATTGAAGTTTATTCTATTGTAATTTGCAAGTGTGTAAATTTGATTCTTAGTTATAAGTAAAAATTACTTTTCTTTAAATTAAATCCTGTCAAAATAATATGAAATCTATAAAATTAACTAAATAAAAAATACATAAAGAGGAAGTATTTTATTGATCCTAGTGTAAAATTTATTTCGAAAATTGTATTTATACAATGTTTTTCTTTTAATAAAATTCTTGGTCTCATGCCTTATACTTAACAAAAGTTTTAACACAATATGGAGACTAAAAATCTATACAACAATAAACTATTATTATATAACTAATAATGATGTAAAAATTTACAATGCATTTTATGATTGACTAATAAGGACATTGTCCTTCAATCTGGTTCCTTTTCCGCCATTTCTTGCAGAAATGTAACAACTTTCATGTATGGAGTTAATCAGTTGTGCAACTGTATGATAAATTAAAAAAAAATATATTACATAACATTAGCCAAAAAGAAATTAACATAATATTTAAATATCATTATTGGACTGTATACAAAGTGAAAAAAATATAATTTCATGTATAATCTAATATCTTTAATTAATATTATGTTAACATCCTGTTTTACCCATTAAGACCGCTATGGAATAAAACAAAAATGGGAATTGCAATAATATTTCTAACAAAGTGTAATCCCGATTCTTGTTGTTTTTTTATTTACTCAAATTTAATATATTTGAATGTTGCACTTTGGTATTTCAAATTACCATACTTTTTTGATGAATTAAGTCAATCGCTATCTGAAATAGCTTTCTTCCGTCTTTTTGCTTGTTTGGGTTTAACAATTTCTTCCTCCTGTGCATAAAAATTATATTTTATAAGTAAGAAATGTTTAATTTTTTTTAAAGTATTATATTATTTTGTATACAGTAAGGTTGATCAGCAAAAGTAAAAACTTTTCTCACTACTAATATCCACTAACTAATAATCCCTAGCAATACATCTAAATAGATAGATAAAATTACATACCTCACTGTCCTCATTAGATGAATGTAAGTTTTGGTTAAGAGGTAACGAATTTGAAATTAATTTTCTGGCTCGCCTTGATATAGGCAGTTCATCTTCCCAAGCCAAAGAAAATAGTTCACTGTATTGTCTCTGGAATGAGAAATAAAATTGGTAGAAATAATTTCTCTTCATTTTTTTACTTTTCTAACAAAATTTTAGCAATGCTCACTCACCCTTAAACTGTCAATGCTATTTGACTGTGAGTGTTGTAACGCTTTTTGCATGCATTCCATGTTAAAAATTGACATATCATCTTGTTCAACACAACATACCCTTATTTGCTCTAAGTGGCCCAAAACCTGTGGTTCAGACAAAAGTTTGAATTAATTGATTGAATTGAATTTAAAATGAAAAATGTTGAATAGCTTTAAGCTCACCAATTCGGCAGAAGGTGGAGCATTTGGTGGTATATTATGTTTTCCTGGACGTTTTCTTTTATTGGGACTTGTACCAGGATACCGAGTACTTAATAAGACTGAAAGTAAATCCCCAACTTTGTCCTCATAATCCTGACACCAATACATAATTGTTGAAACTACAAAGGTATCTTCTTCATCAATTTCTCTACAAAATAACTGCCTTATAACATCTGCTGTGGGTCGTTCCTGTTTTAACATTAACAAAACAGAAGTAACAGCTTCAGCGTGATCTTTATAAGATAATTTGGGAATGATAGGTAAAACATCTTCAACAGAGATATCATGAGCTGTTAGGAGCTGCCACAAGCAATACTGTTCAAATGTCTCCCAACCAAGGCTGGTGGAAAGCATTGTAGTTATATCATCAGATTTAAACATCATCAAATTGCCTTGCAATGTTAGGCATACGAGACGCTGTAGCTGGCCTGCATCTAGTGTTGATACTATGACATTCAATAGCTTTATATGGTTTTGTGCTTGTTCTTTAAACTCTCTGTAAATATCTGGAATTAACCATACTAAAACATTTGCATCATTTTCTTGACACTTCTCAAAATCATTTGCTAAACTATCAGCTACTTTTAGTTCTAGGAAACTGCAATAATTTTTATAGATGTCTACTTTAAACTTGACATTTCTTCTTTTAACAGTGTCCCGTTCAGCACGTCGTTCTCTTTCAAAACATACTTTTAGGTAAAACAATAAACAAAATCCTACATTTTGAAAAGAACCCTGCTCATGGATTTCCTTAAGTATTTCTAACACTAGTTTTCGTTTTGCCTCTGTTCCTTCTCCATTTAAGTAACTAAACATGGAAAATATAGGAGAATCTATAACTGTTTCGAGTTCTGTGGGGCTTGGATTGGTACCAATCTTTAAAGGTGGTGCATCCTGTAAAATAGCCGCAAATAAATCGGCAAGGGCAGATGCACTTGGCATTGGGGTGCCACATGCATTAAGGAATGCTTTTGTTGCAGTTGTAGAACGTTCATCTAAAAGTGTTTCAGCTAATGGACGCATAATTAAAGGTAATGCTGCTGCCAGCTCTGGTCTCTCACGTGCTCGAACTTCTGATAGTGGTATATCATCATCATCTGTGTCTTCAGTTAAAGCTTGAGAATCCTCTTCATCATCAGAAAATGCAGGTTCATCTGATATAACTTTAGGCAAATCTTCACTACCTTCGTCCCGAATACCAGAAACACCTTCCCCATTACTATTGCTACAGAATTCTTTAAAAGTCTCTCTAACAGTTGACCGTAACTCCCGATCTAATTTGGGGGAATCAAATAATGGTTGTAAATTTGGTAGAACTCTTTTCTCAATGATTTGTTGAAGGGAATTAAAAATTCCTTGCCTCACTTTATCTGAATATGGTGGATAAAAGTTGGGTATAATTCGACATAAAAAGTCCAGTAAAGTTGCCGTAACAGCTGGATGTGACCTCATAGAATGGTGCATTACTAAAATTGCCGGTTCAATATTCATTATATTATCTTTGTCAGGATCGTAAAATAACCAGTCATAAAAGAGTGCCAGCTTAGCATTTGATGCAGCTACATTGGATGTGCATGTGGTGAGAAGCCATCCAATTACAGCCCATCTTGGAATGATATCTGAACAAAGGAGTTCATTTGTTGGATGAATAACACCTACAATAAATCTAATCATATCACTGCGAAGAGACTGAGATTCTGGAGTAGCTAGATATTGTCTCTGAAACCATTCTTGATATTTTTTATGGTGGCCAAATCTCACTTGTGATGTGAGGAAAACAAGTTTTCTTTCCATATCTGGTGTTATCCTTGATTGTAAGTATCTTCGAGAAGTTCTTGTCTGTAATAATTGTAGTACATTTGAAAAATTTGGACATAATGATCTGGGGTTTACTAGAATTTCTTGCCATAACTGGTTGAACTCTGGAATGCGGGCAACATTTTGAAGTAATCTTACCAAGTCTCGTCCTAATGTTAATACATCTGTAAAATGTTCTCTTATGAGGGCTATAACAAAGTTTACTTCCTTTTGACGCAATGACATGAGATGTGGAATATTATGATCTTCAATCAATCTTAAATATGTATAAACTACCATGCAAATTAGAACTGGAAATTTATCGAGCCACATTCGATTTTCAATGTAGATATCTAACAGAGATTCTACTAAGTATATATTTTTTGGTGTTATGTCTCCTCCTGATGCATAACGCATAAGGTTCCAACACACATTATCCACACCAGTTACAGCATTCCTCATCATTTCTTTTATAAGCCACAAAAGTTGGTTTCGAGTAGTGTCTTGAAACTTTAAATATCTTTCTAATATTAGATTCGACAAATTATTTAATACACATGTTAACCCATCTCTGGTAACCAATGTAAGATCTCTGTAACATTTAGTAGCATTGTGGGGTTCAGTAAGAATAGACATGAGCATTCCTAGAGACACATCTTCATGATTCTTACAAACAGCATTGTTAAGAGCGTCGTGAGCTTCTTTTTCACTACAGTCTGCTACCAGAGATTGAAAGAAAACGTAAGCCCTCTCATACCTCTGTAAAGAAATAAAACTTTAGTTAAATAAGTTAGTAATTTTTCCCTCATATAGATGAATTTAAAATTTTCGCGCCATGAATACAGCGCCACCACCGTCACTACAAGAACATTTTGGTTTACATGGCCGACTAATTATTCTTTGTTGAGAAACTGAAAATTTGATGTCGTTACCTCTTCAATTTCATCCTTGTTTTCAATAACTGTACACACAAAAAGTTTAGGCGTGTTGGCCTTTGCCTGCTCCATTATTAAAATATTTACACGATTATTTTAAAAATAATCCAAAAGCTGTCTGCATGGCCACTACCGTGGGAGAAAAATATAGGTATATATAAAAAGCAATACAATAAACACAGATTAAAAATAATTGTTGACACATTCAAATGATTCGAGGACGGTGTGGACATGGCATAGTACAATGTGTTGCTATACCCATATTTAGGTTTTATACCTTTGACAAAGTTTTATAGAACAAGGTAGGTAGTCGATTTGTAATTTCTCAGAATAATTACAGATTTCATATAAACAATAATATGATTAAGTTTAAAAAATTTAAAAAATCCTTATCCTTACTGATTAAATGTGTTTGTAATATCTTATCAATTTTATAAATGATAATAATTTATTATAAGTATTTTGTAACTATTAATGAAATACATGGTTTATGGTGTTGTAATATTAAACTTACCGTGTAGTGGTGGTATAAGGATATTCACTACCCCATATCATCCCGTGGATATTGTAAAGGCGAAAGAGGGAAACAAATTAGGAGATGGACCACAGTCTTTCTAATAACGACTAAAAATAAAAAAAAAACTGCAAATCTAAACAAGCTTGCCAAGCGTGGCAAATATGAAAAATACCCCCTATGAGGCATCTACGGGGGAGACCTATGTTCAGCAGAGGACTTCAATAGGCTGTAACGGTAACGACAAATATTTATGCGTCAAAGAGTATATCAATATTGCTTAAGCTTCGTTAAAGTAATCTTCTACGATAGTGAAATAAATTTTACTTCGGGAAAATGAATGTAATGTTTTTTTTTTCTTCGCAACCACGTTTACGTTCCTACAAGGATACCTACGTATTTTAGATAATCTACACTGATCACGCCGATTACATTGTAGTGAAAAGTAGTTCAAATAGTTTTTCTAATACGGAAAACGTGTAAACAGTCAAACGTTTGGACGGCCGTATCTTTACTTTTTAAGCCATGTCTCAGACAAAGAGCGCCTAATCATTATAATTTAGTCACAGAGTTTTAATAAACTTTTATACGTGGTAGAGCCATGCTGCAGCTATATTAATAGTATAGTTGTAGCACGAATGGTTCGGCTCGACCGGAGAAGGACCACGCTCTCACAGAATATCAGCAAAAAATAGCCATTAACCTGAATGCTGCTGTGTTTCGTATGGTGAGTGTAGAGAACTGGAGACCCTTTTTTGTGTTTTTTTTTTATAGGATAAGAGTGACAAACGAGCACACAATCCACCTGATGCTAAGTGATTGCTGCGGACCATAGACATCTATCTTGTTTGCTAATCAAAATGCAGATACGTTGTCAGCCGTGAGGACTAAGATGGAATGCCTCTTTTCCAGTAAAAAGTAAAATTTTTGAAAAAAAAAACTAACAATGTCAAACTCGAAAATACTATTACTACATTTATGTAGTGTGGTCATTATAATATTTCTTATTACTTGTACTATTTAGTACCCAGCGTATTGCTGCCGCAGATGAAATAATTGTGGATATATCTTTTTAAATTTGGAAGAATTATATTGTTTAATTGCCGTGTAGTTGCGGTGTAAGAGGTTTTAGGTTGTAGGCATTTAAGATGTATCCATTACCTCATATCTTCCCGTGGATGTCGTAAAAGAAGACACATGGTAACTAAGGCAGGAGATGGGCAGCAGCATCTTTCTGATAACAATAAATTTTATAATAAAAAAACGGAGATTGACAACCCGCACACTAAGCGTGCTAAATATGGCAAATATCATGAGCAACGACCAACGACACAAATAAACGGTCCCTAGTCTCTGGTAGTTCCACTATTACTGGCTACGGTGGCGACTATGGTAATAGCGGGCCAGGGGGTGCTAGGGATTCTGGAGAGTATCAGTTGCCATCTAAGAAGACTTGACCTAGTAACTGGCAACATTTAACACGCGCACCCTATGGACTGATGAGAGGATCCTGGAGTTGAAACAAGAGATAGATAATTTGCGGTAGGATATTATAGGATTATCTGAAGTCATCCGGCATCTTGGACATCTGTCTCAAGGAGGTGTCGGATTTATTGTCACATAAGTCTCTCGTTAACAACATTGTTAAAATCAAGAGTGTATCAACGAGGACTGCATACCTTATACTCAGAATCACCAAACGGTAATCGTTGAAGGTCATACAAGCTTACGCACCAACCTCGGCACCTTTCGATAAGGAGGTGGAGCAAATGTATGAAGACATCTCTAGATCCATGTATTCCCCCAAAACCCCCAATACGGAGTTAATGGGAGACTTCAACCCAAACAAGGCACAAGAGAGAACGGTGAGCTAAAGGTAAGGAAATTTGGAATAGGACAACGGAACCCAAGGGATCAGTAGTTCGCCGACTTCATGGAGAAAGAGTGACCATTATGATGAACTCTTTCTCCCAGAAGTGGCCCCATAGAATGTGGACCTGGTTGAGCCCCGATGGTTCGACGAAAAATGAGATTGACAACCAGATGGCAACTGTTGAGTGATTTCTAAGTGATCGCGAAGATAAAAATTGGCAGAGATCGCCGAATAGCTAGAGGCGCACTGAACCTAAACAATAATTTAGGGAAGCCACGTCTAATCAAGTTGAAGATTCGTCCACCTCGTGCTCTTGGATTAGAGCCCCGAAAACTTTCAGCTCAAGATACAAAATCGTTTTCAGTGCCTAAAAGACTGCGATACAGTGGACGATATGACTGAGAACCTCATGAAAACTGTTCATGTGGTCGGAGCTAAGTTCTGCAAGACGTGTCACAGAAGAACAGACAAACTCTTCAATCACACTCTTAATCTCATAACTGTTAGACGAGAAATAAAGCTGTAGTCTTCAGCAGGTATGACAGCATATAGGCAACTGAACAGACAGATGTCCAAACACATGCGGCTGGACTTACGCTACTTCAATACAACTCGTACTGAAGAAGAGATCGCGTGGAACCAGGGCTCCAAAATCTTTGCCAGCGATCTGTCTGTCAGAAAGAGCCAACTCTCGAAGCTGAATACCGAATGTGGTAACATCGTTTCCGGGACACCTGAGATTTTGAGTCAAAATCTCAGGTGTCTCGGAAACAAGAAGTGCCCGCAGCTGGCAATCTCACTCAAAAGTTTTGCAAAACCACAACTGCGGGAATATTTTACGGGCAGCTGTAAACGTTATCATTGGAGACACACGCAAGTGTCAGTAACGAACCTATACCTAAAGACAAGATTGTACAACCAGTGCGTTCTTCACTGCATGCCGTATGAGGAAGCTCAAGGTATCTTATTGAGGTATGGAGTGGCTATGCTCGGGGTTTCTCTGCGTGATAGACTTTTGCAGACCTGACAAATCGTCACTTTGCTGATCTCACGGTTACGAATAAGTAGAAAGAGTAGGAGTAGAATCAGTAGAAGCAAGTAGAATCAGTAGAAGCGAGTAGAATCAGTAGAAGCGAGAAGAATAATTTATTGAAAAAATGTGTTCCTTCTAAACTAAAAATTAACAAAATGTACAAAGTTTTTAAGTTTGTAACCAATCAAAATTAAAATATTTACAGTCTTAAAATTACAACATCGAATCTTCTTATTAACTAACACGTGATTGGTCGTAATAAATAAGGTAAAGGAATGTTAAGAGAAAGGCAGTAAGGGTCCCCTACTCTTATTACACCTCTCTTATTAAGGGCTTAGGGACACTGATTCAGTGTAATGTAATAGGGGTATATTTACTCCTATTACACTACACTGAATCAGTGTCTCCTTACCTCTAGAGTTATTTTAACTTTGACATCTGTAATTTTATTTTCTTGCTAGGTTCGCATTACTTGTTGTCAAGTATTGCAGGCATATTGAAAAGTTTCTCGGATTTTTCGTTTGTATCGGTGATTACTAATCTCTTAACATGTCAAAAAGGATTCAAAGTAGTGGCAGAAAAATTGTGCTATCGGTGCGCAAGTTTTGTGAACAAGAAAAAACTAATAAAGTTCCAATAATTCTATTTGAAAATGTTCGTCAACGGGTAGCAGTCATCACAGGTGAGTCAAATAGTGTTCCCTGCTATTCGTGCTTTTCCTATTTTTCCCAAGATTTTTGTAACGTTACGTTCCATTACAGTTAGAAATAGTATAGTAACTTAATTTTCTGTATCAAAGTAATAATTGAATTTAATTTCATCATCATTCATCATTACAGCCCTTCACAAGTCCACTGCTGAACATAGGCCTCCCCCAAGGAAAGCCACAAAGCACGGTACTGAGCCACCTACATCCATCGACTTCCTGCATATCTTACCAGGTCGTCACTCCATCTAGTGGAGGAACGTCCTACACTTCGCTTGCCGGTATGATGCTGCCACTCGAGAACCTTTCTTGGTCCAGTTGTCGGTCCTTCGAGCTATATGGTCGGCCCATTGCCACTTCAGCATACTAATTCTTTGGGCTATGTCGGTTACTCTGGTTCTACTGCGGATATCCTCGTTTTAAGTCTATCACACAGAGAAACTCCGAGCATTGCCCTTTCCATAGCTCGCTGAGCAACTTTAAGCTAAATCATCCGGCCAGCAGTGAAGGACCAGGTCTCAGTTCCATAGGTCATCACTGGCAACACGCACTGGTTGTACAGTCTCGTTTTCAAGTTTTGAGGTATACCTGACGGGAACATGTGCCGTAATTACCCGAACGCTACCCAACCGAGTTGAATCCGTTGACTGACCTCTCGGTCGAAGTTGGACTTACCTAGTCGCACTATTTGTCCCAGGTAAACATATTCGTCAATAACTTCGAGCTTAGTGCTCCCAACAACTACTGGCATAGGTGTGGCATGGACGTTAAACATGATTTTTGTTTTGTCCATGTTCATCTTAAAACCTATCCGTTGGGAGACACTATTGAGGTCATTGAGCATAGTGCTTAGGTCCTCCAGAGATTCTGCTATAAAGACTATATCGTCGGGAAATCGAAGGTGAGTGATGTACTTGCCATTGACGTTGATGTCGTATCCTTTCCA